TTTGTGTTTGTGTGTAATTTATTAAAGTGTATTTTGTGACACTGCAATGTCCACCATGTTATTCTCATTAAAAAATGTATATATTGTTTGGGGGTTTTAAATAATTTTCCAGCAAAAAAATTATGATTTTTCCTTGTAGGGGAGGAATGTCAGAATTGGCCTGGGTGGCAGGTGGTTATGAATACATACTTGAATATATATATTTTTTCTAAATCAGAGTTTAGTGTCGCTTTAAAACTGAACCGCCTAGCGGTCACCGAAACCTGGATCCAAGCCACTGACTCCACCTCCCCTGCAGCACTCACCTATGGAAGCCTCGTCTGGACCCACTCACCCAGACCGAGTGGTCGCAGAGGCGGTGGGGTCGGCATGCTCCTGCCACCGCTGAGCACCTTCCAGGTCCTCCCTAACCTCCCCTCCCTATCCTTCTCCTCCTTCGAAGCCCACTGCATCCGGCTCTTCTCTCCCACCCCCCCTGAGGATTGCAGTAATCTATCGGCCTCCGGGATCCGTATCCCTCTTCCTGGACGACTTTGCCGCCTGGCTTCCCTTCTTCCTCTCCTCTGAACTACCAACCATCATCCTCGGGATTTCAACATCCCCATCAAAGTCAACAACCCGGCTACTTCCCAACGCCTCCTCCTAACCTCCTCTTTCGCGCTCACACAGCACACACAGTCCTCCACCCACACCAATGGGAACACCCTGGACCTCGTTTTCTCTCACCTCTGCACCCTCCACAACTGATCACCACCTCCTCACGTTTTCCATCTCCCCCTCCTCTAACTCCCCCCCCCCCCCCCAAAGTGTCAAACCATCACCAGCGGTAACCTCTGCAACCTGAACCCGGCCCATCTCCACCCGGCAGCTGACCGTCTGTATGACAGTATCCTTCCACTGTCATGCCCTGACCTGGCCACTACTGCGTACAACGACTCACTGTCGGCTGCCCTCGACTCCCTGGCACCCCTAACCACGCGTAACATCAGAACCCAACCGCTTCAACCCTGGCAGAACGACCATCAAACTACCTCTCCACCTAGCCCCCCTCCCTCCATCACCCCCTTAATTCTCCCCTCCTCTGACCTCGTAACCGCACTGCCCCCCACCATACCTAACGCCCCGCACATTATCACCTCCCCGACGCTCCGCTCCTTGAGCCCTGCTACCACTGAGGAGGTCACTAAGGTCTTCACTGAACCCCGCCTCACCACTTTCCCCCTGGACCCTATCCCCTCACAACTCCTCCAGTCACCCCCCTCCTCCATCATTCACTCCCTCACCCACATCTTCAATCTCTCCCTCTCTACTAGCACATTCTCCTCCCCCTAAAGCACGCACACATCACCCCCGTACTCAAAAAACCCTCCCTTGACCCCACTGACCTAAACAACCTTAGACCTATCTCCCTGTTACCATTCACTTCCAAGCTCCTTGAGCGCTTAGCCTACAATCGCCTAAACACCCACCTCACTGGTAACAACCTCCTTGATCCACTACAGTCTGACTTCCGTCCCCTACACTCCACCGAAACCGCCCTACTTAAAATCACTAACGACCTGCTAACCGCCAAAGCTAATGGCCACTACTCAGTCCTCCTGCTCCTCGACCTCTCCGTGGCCTTCGAGACAGTCGACCACTCCCTCCTCCTTACCAAACTGCACTCCTTTGGCATCAGGGACGCTGCTCTCTCCTGGTTCTCCTCCTACCTATCCCAATGCTCCTTCAGCATCACCTATAACGCTGCCACCTCCCCCTCTCTGTTGGAGTCCCCCAAGGCTCTGTCCTCGGACCCCTCCTCTTCTCCATCTACACCTCCTCCCTTGGCAAACTGATACACTCCCATGGCTTCAACTATCACCTCTATGCCGACGACACACAAATTTACCTCTCCACCCCCACCTCACCCCCTCACTCTCCGCCCGCATCGCCCACCTCCTGAACGACATATCAGACTGGATGTCGCTCCATTTCCTCAAGTTAAACCTGTCTAAAAACGAGCTCCTGGTTTTCCCCCCAGCCTGCGACCCCCCCCATCCTCTCCATCACGACTAGCAACGCCACCATCAATCCCACCCGACACGCCAAAGTCCTGGGTGTCACCCTGGACTCAAACCTTTCCTTCCAACCTCATGTCCAATCACTATCAAAATCATGCAGGCTCCACCTCCGCAACATCTCCAAGATACGTACCTTCCTTAACCCAGACACTACTAAACAACTCGTACACTCCCTCATCATCTCACGCCTGGACTACTGCAACTCCCTTCTCACTCGCCTACCCAAACAAACGCTATCCCCACTCCAGTCTATCCTGAACTCAGCGGCTAGACTCATCCACCTCACCAACCACTCCACATCTGCCACCCCCCTCTGCCAATCCCTTCACTGGCTCCCGATTTCCCAGCGCATCAAATTCAAATTACTAACTCTGACCTACAAAGCCATTCACAACGCCGCCCCAAACTACCTAACTGACCTGATACCCAAATACCACCCTACCCGTGCCCTTCGCTTCTCACAGGACCTCCTACTCTCTAGCTCCCTGGTCTCCTCCTCCCACGCCCGACTCCAGAACTTCTCCAGGACTTCCCCCATCTTCTGGAACTCCCTACCCCAATCCATCAGACTGTCACCTACCCTCCCCACCTTCAGGCGCACCCTGAAAACCCATCTTTTCAGGGAAGCCTACTCCACCCTCACCTAACAACCGATCTCCTCCACTCCTCCCACCACTCCATCCCCCTCAGCCACTTCCTCCTGTACCACTATCCCCTCCCTCCTAGATTGTAAGCTCGAAAGAGCAGGGCCCTCGAACCCCTCGTGTATTGTATTGTTACTGTATTGTCTCATGTTCTGTCCCCCTCGCTATTGTACAGCGCTGAGCAAACCCTTTGGCGCTATATAAATACTGTATAATAATAATATTAGGCATTAAATCAATAACGAAGAATTCCCTTGAAATTATATTTAATAACCCTATAGCTATACAAATTAAAACATTTCTTAATTCAGCCTTGATAATTCAGACAGCCGAGTAAGACAAAAAAAAAAAAAACAGTCTAAACTCCACAGTCTCTGGAGCCACTCATCTGCTTTCACCTCTGCCGATGTGTCATTTCAGGCAAGCTTAGCAAAATGCAATGAATGATAATGAGAACTTTCTCCCTGCAATGCTACACTGCACTGCCCTCCGTAATATCCTGGAATTGTACTCGCCCTTGATCCATGCTCGAAAATAACATTTTTATTGCTGTGGTTGAATGCCACTGGCGCATATTTAATCCCATTTTAGATGAAGAAAAGCAGCTCAAGCAAAACACATAAATAACATTTCAGTGCTGAAGTCTGTAAAATACAACAAAGTAAATATAAGCCTATGTTCCTACACAAGCCTATAAATCAGGGGGGACAGAAATGACATATCTGTTGTTGTTATGCTTCTCTATATAAGCTGATGATATAGGCAACCAGAACATCTACCCATCCTGATACCATCAACAGCACCGGCCACAACCACGGCTCCGAATTCTTTATCCGCTTTACCGCCGCCCTATAGCAGAAATACTGCTACAGGGCAGCAGGGGTGCACAAAATCATATATATACGTGATTTTGCATTTCCGGGTAGGGGGCACACAGGAGCCACGCGTGCGCCCTACCCGCACTGCCATTCGTGGCCTCAGCTGTCAATCACCGGGTCCAAGCCAGTGATTACTCACCGGCATCCAGTGATCACTGAGTAATACCGACGGGGGGAGAGAGCTGTATGTAAACAATACCGTTCTCTCCCATCAGCTCCTGCACACTGCTTTGTTTGGCTCTGTATAGCAGAGCCATACAAAGTAGTGTGCTTACAGTGGAAAGCACAACCACAACCCCATAGTAAAACACACAGTTAACCCTTTGATCGCCCCAGATGTTAACCCCTTCCTGCCTAGTGCCATTAGTACAGTGTCAGTGCTTTTTCTTAGCACTGATCACTGTATTGGTGTCATTGGGGATATCAGGGACACCAAGGCAGTTCCCCCCAGTGTCAGAATGCCTGCCGCAGTCCCGTTGTAAGTCGCTGATTGCCGCCATTACTAGTATTAAAAAAAAATTCCAGTATATATATACTGCCATTTCTAGATGCTATAACTTTCAAGTAAAACAATTATTTACACATGTTGGATTTTTTTTTTAGCAAAGATATGTAGCAGAATACATTTTGCTCTAAATTTATGATGAAATTTGATTTAACTTTTTTTGGACATATTTAATAGCAAAAAGTCAAAATATAGTTTTTTTTTCTCTCAAAATTGTCGGTCTTTTTTTGTTTACAGTGCAAAAAAAAAAATGCACAGGCAATCAAATACCACTGAAAGAAAGCTCTATTTGTGGGAGAAAAAGGACGTACATTTCATTTGGGTGCAGCGTTGCATGACCGCGCAATTGTCAGTTAAAGTAGCGCAGCGCCATAATGCAAAAAATGGCCTGGTCAGGAAGGGGGGGTAAATCCTCTGGAGAGCAAGTAGTTATGTGCCACCAATACCCCCAGTGCCACATTCATGTGGATGAACAGGCATGGACAGTGGCAAGAGACAGCCTAGTGCTGCAGCCAGCAGAGGTCAGGAAGCCTGTACAGAGCAATGACAAACTGAAAGGAGCTGCAGCTGTCCACCGATCTTGACATGTGTTCACACACGGGAGTGATTACCCGAGCTTACGGAGAGATGTCTAACCCTGAATGCACACAAATGTCTCCAGGGAAGGCCATCTGTCCCTAAATGCAGGTAAACACTGGATGGACAGATACATGCGAAGAACAGTGGCCCTAGCTCCCTAGTTCTACCTCTCCCTCTCCCGGTGTGAGTGCTGCTGTACAGAGGATAAGAGGTGGACACCAAGATAAATGCAGGTAATTTGCATATAAAACACAGTTAAAGTGTTACTAAACCAACAATAGTAAAATCAGTCTGTATATGCATTAAAGCATGCTTGTTATACTCATTTTCGAACCTAAGGGGTTAATTTCCCACAGTGTGTAAAAAGGCGGTTTGAGCCGGTCTTCTCTGCTCCTCCCCTTCGTCTACTGTCCCCAATTCACCTGCCATAGTACAGAGCAGTAGTGGCAAGTCTACACATGCTCGGTTTGGGCTGTACTGCTAGTTTTCTTTTTGGGGAGGGTGTGATCAGCACAGGGCCAATCAGCACTGTCCAGACAGAGGTCAGGGATGCTGAATCCTTCTAGAGTAGGGGACTCCAAACTATGGCCCTCCAGCTGTCGAAGTACTACAAGTCCCATCATGCATCTGGGAGTCTTGCCTGTGGCTGTCAGAGTTTTGAAAGGCCTTATGAGACTTGCAGTTCAACACCTGGAGGGCCGTAGTTTCAGACCCCTGTCCTAGAGCAAAATGAAAACTCCTACAAGATCAACCAGTGCTCAGCCGGACACTGATAGAAGTCACAAGACTGCTCCAACTGCTGATGAGAAAAGGTATTTAGCAGTTTATATTTACTAAAATAATTGCATCTCCATGTTGTGTGTACTGTGGGAGACCAGATATAGTGAATGCAGAGTCCAGGGTTTAGTAACACTATAACAGCAGCTGCATTCAATCCTTTTTTGTGCTCAAAGTTTGGCATTGAATGCAGACCTTGGATTCATACAGCTTCAGAAAACAAAACAAAAAAAAAAAGGTAAATAACAAATGTAGTTCTTTAGTATAGATTCAGTCATATAGCTCTGCTCCACGTTTATGTAATTTCTCTGTGTTGCATTGAATTGCAGTAGGTTACAATTTTTTCTGTAGATTCTGTAGTGGTGATTTTGGGCCACTATAACTTGTTTACTATGTAAATTGGTTTATTACTCTGTCTACCCCTCCTGTTTAGTGTTAGTTAGGCTGGCCATACATTCAATTTTCTTGAGAAATTTGCTTTAGATTTACCAAAAACCATATAAAAATGAGGTCAAACCTAAACACTTTCAATTGTATCCAATTAGCCCTTGAACTACATAGTTGAAGGTAAATCGAACGGAAATTGGGCAGAAAATTGTATAGTGTATGGCCAGCCTAACTCCAGCTCTAGCTAGACCCTTAAATTTTTCTTCCATGTTCCCTCAGTCAGTTAGTACTTGGCAGAGACAAGGCTTAGGGATGTCGTTGTTTGCCCTAACTTCAAAACAATGGAAAAATATCCTCTGCATTGATGTAAAATTGTGTTGGATTCAACTTGTGCAACTTATTGAAAAGTTAAGCTGCCTGTGGATGGTGTTAAGTCAACAGGTGACCAGGTTGGGCCCAAAGATGTATATCAATGCATAAGGCGCCATTTTAAACAGAACACATATACACAGTGTGCACATGTCTGAACACCCTCTTCTTCAGATGAGCAGTTTTCCTGGAAGCTGCCATATTTCTATGACGTAAAGGCAAACAAACCGTTCATTTCCTGGACTCACGCCCTTTGCCTCTGCAGTCTTGCACATTGCATGAGTACACGGATTTTAGAACATGAGGCTACAAGGGAAGGTAGTTTCACAAAATCCAGCTTTTCTTTGTTTCTCCTTGCCCATTTCATGTCTCTTGATAATCAATGTCCATCTCTTCTCTCTGCCTGGCTCATTCTTCACTGCTGCCCTGCTCTTCACCATGTCTAACACCAGCCCTATATAACCGCCATGATCTGCTCCTGGCCTGTTGTCAAAGCTCCTGATACTGCCCCACTGTGATCTAGTTTACTGATCAGGGCCCTGTTACATACTCATTTCTGGGCTGTTTTGAAGGCATTGAGGGGATTCTTCAGCAATATCCGATTCACAGATCAGAATCCCGCAAGGGCTCCCAACGGTCTACTGATAGTGATGAGAGATTCATCCTCTGGCATCAGCAAGATACCAAGAATGGATGCGAGAAGTTCTCTTAGTCTTAAAGCAGTATTAAACCCAAAACCAGAAATGTAGAATATTGAAGCTCATCATTAAATGTGGTGGATGCGGTCGTTTTTCTTTTAGGCTTTTCCCCCCTCTGTTTTCACCTATTGATCTGGCCAGTAACACACCTCCTGCATTATACAGACAACGTTCTGGATGAAGGAGCACAAAGGGCAGATTTGGACAGCAGCATTGTCAGTCTGGGAGGGAGGGGAGTATTAGATGCACTAGCAGATTTAAATACACTAACAAATTGAAGCCAAACTCCAGCTAACACTTTATAACCAGTTACAACAAACTCGTTTTTTTTTCTTTTGGGATTAAGATTTTTCCATAAATAAAAGCTAATCCGTTCAAGCACCCCTGTTAAGGTTAAATGGTCTGTAACTGCAAGAGCTTTTCTGTTGACAAAAAAACAGACTTACAGGGTGGATCACCAGATGAAAATAATAATAATAATAGTTTGCTTTTGGGTTTAATAGTGTTTTTAGGCCTATTTATTTATTTATTTCAGGTACTTGTATAACGCAGTCAATTTACGCAGCGCTTTACATATATATTGTACATTCACATCAGTCCCTAACCCTCAAGGGGCGTGCAATCTAAGATCCCTAACTTACATTCATACATACACATAATAGGGCCAATTTAGACAGGATCCAATTAACCTACCAGCATGTCTTTGGAGTGTGGAAGGAAACCGGATTACCTGGAGGAAACCCATGCAGGCACAGGGAGAACATGCAAAATCCAGGCAGGTGGTGCAGTGGTGGGGAATCAAACCAGCGACCCTAGTACTGCCAGGCGGAAGTGCTAACCATTTAGCCACTGTGCTGCCCATATTCACACCAGTCTGGTGCTCTGTGGTATGTTAAAGTGTTACTAAACCCCGGACCCTGCATTCACCATATCTGGTCTCCCACAGTACACAGAACATTGAAATGCAATTATTTTAGTAAATGTAAACTGCTAAATAATTTTTCTCATTAACAGTCAGGCAGTCTTGTGACTTCTATCAGTGTTGTTTGAGGAGCTTTCATTCTCCTCTCACTGTCCTATGAGGCTGCATGACCCCTGATGCTCTATTTGGACAGTACATATTGGCCCTGTGCTGTTCACATGCACTCTCCCAAGAAAGTAAAAAAAAAAAATACACAATAGCAATACACAGCAAACTGAGCATGTGCAGCTTGCCCCCAAGGCTCTGCTCTATCAGCAGATGGATTGGGGACAGTAGAAGGGAAGCATCAGAGAAGACAGGATCAAACAGACTTTTTTACACAATGCAGAGCATTAACCCTTTAGGTTCCATAATGAGTATAACAAGCATGCTTTACTGCATATACAGACTGATTTTACTGTTGTGGGCTTAGTAACACTTTAACACACATGCGTTATGTCACGTATCAATGTGTGTTGCATTAAAACAGTCCATTATTATGTTTTGCCTAACACAACGGACCTAAAAATCATTCTTGCTGCTTTTTTTTTCATATTGCAGTGCATGCTGGTGCATTACTGTGCATTGCAACGTGGGTGTGCTGGAGGGGCATTCAATATGACCGTGCAGCACAACGCATTGGTATGAATTGGCTCTACCTAAAACAAATCAGCAGCAGCTCCTCTGCATCTCTGCTATTCCCAAATGTCAGTGTGTTCAGCAAGCACCTTTTTAATTCAATGCCTAGCACTGCTAGCAGTACCTTGTCTACAGAAACAGAATCTCTGCAGCTTATCTGGTAGGAAATTGCATACATAATGATTTTTTGTCTTCCAAGCTGCATAATATACTTTCCAGCACAAAATAGATTGACTGCGCCATCTATAGGTACACACACAGAACACCCTAGTATACTAAGCCAACACAATAATCCTATGTTAACTTCACACAAATGACTCTACATTTTACAAAACAAATTGCAGGCTTAATTTTGGGGTAAGAGAATATTACCCACTTTTCTGAAACTTTTTGTTTACTAAAAAAAAAAAAAAACAGTATTTTTTTCTAGAAAATTACTTCGAACCCCGAAACATTATATATTTTTTTTAAACCAAAGTCCTTCAGAATAAAATGGTGGGTGTTGCAATATTTTTTATCTTTTATTTATTCACAAGTATTTGCGCAGCAGTTTCAAATTTGGAGGTTCCTTCTTGGTTGGAGCTGATAGTCCTGTGTGCTCCTCTAGGACAGCCGGACCCCACCATGAATACAAAGGGAGTGGTCATCATCTACCTGTGTGCAGCCTTTTAAGCACGCATTCCCTGGGAATCTCTTCACCATCCAGAGAGGGGGAAATCCTGTAATCAGGTGGCTGACCCTGCTGATCCTTAAAGGAGGCCTCTGGAACATACCTCACCCAGTAACTGCTGAGCTGCCCATTGAGAGACGGATTCCCTAGATGTATACCTCGTTACCCTGCCGCTCCTGGTTTTGGATATATCAAATGCGCATAACCTATGTGCTTCTGGCAAGAGCATAATAATTTCATCTTTTGCTTGGAACATCATAAAGAAGGATACGCTTATTTTGGCATTATGCATGGCATCAGTTTATATTGAATCGGACTGTGATTTCACGTATACTTACCTAGCGCTGCACTTTATATTTATTATTTACCAGAGGATTTTCGGTGGTTACCTGAGTGTATCAGCTGCTATTATGGAGAGCACTCACTATTATCACTGCTGAGTTTTTCAAACGCAATTTAAAAACAAAAAAACCCTTTTGAATTTTAATGCACAAAACACAATTAGCCATTTTTTTAACCAAATTTTTCACCAATCATATAAAAGATGGCTAGTAAATAGATACCAAACATGTCACACTTTAATATTACGCCTGACCATGCAATGGGGACAAACTATGTACATTTTATTATCCAAAGGTGCCGCTTTAAAAGCACCCACAAGTTACCACTTTAGATTTACACGAGGTCTGGTGCTAGAATTACTGCCCTCGATATGACATTCCCAGTGACAACTCACATGTGTGGTGCGATCAATGTTTACGTATGCATGTGAGACTGACGTGTGCATCCGACTTTGTGTGTGAGCACAGGGGGGGACACGGGCGCTTTAAATGTTTTTCTATTTTAATTATTTATTTGTTTTTATCTTTACACTGTCTCTATTGTTTTTTTCACTTTTATTGTTATCACAGGGAACATAAATATCCCCCGTAATAGCAATAGGCAATGACAGGTACTCTTTACTGAGAGCTCTGGGGTCCATTAGACGTTAGATCTCTTCTCTGCCTTTTAAAGTGTTTGATCATACCAAGATCAGTATGATCCAATACTTTTTTCATGCTCTAATATTGCGCACGACCATGCAATGGGGACAAACTATGTACATTTTATTATCCAAAGGCGACGCTTTATAAGCATTCACAGGTTACCACTTTAGATTTACACATGAGGTCTGGTGCTAGAATTACTGTTCCCGGTGATAACTCACATGTGTGGTGAGATCGATGTTGACGCATGCATGTCAGTCTGACGTGTGTGTGTGAGCACGGAAGGGGGGGGGGGGGGGCAGGGGGCAGTCTATTCTATTCTATTTTAATTATTTATTTGTTTTTATTTTTACACTGTCTCTATTCTTT